TTTTGAATGAGAAAGTAAAATCTCCATATGGTATTTATTGACTTAGAGAAAGTATATGATAGAGTTTCACAAGAAGTGCTGTAATGGGCTTTAATAAAGGAAAAAGTTCCTTTAAAATACATTAATATAGTTAAAGATATGTATGAATGGGTTGTAATGAATGTGAGGATATTTGGGGAATTAACCGATAGCTTTACCATTACCTTAGGATTGAATCAAGGCTCAACACTAAATTTATTTATTTTTGCATTAGTTATGGACAAGCTCATTGGGCATATCTAAGATAAGGTGTTATGGCGCGTGTTATTTGCAAATGATATAGTCTTAGTTGTTAAAATTAGTAATGATCATAATGTAAAATTAAAATGATGTGCTAGAGTCTCAAGACTTCGAATTAAGTAGATCTAAAACTAGATATATGGAATGTAAGTTTAGTAATCATAAGAAAGCAGGTACTAATGTGATTAAGTTTGATGTGGAATAGTAACAAAAATTAGTCATTTCAATATTTAGGATCAATTATTTAGAGCGATGCTGAGATAGAAAAGGATGTAAATTATAGGATTCAAGTAGGATAGGTGAGGGGACGAAGTGCGTCGAGTGTATTGTGTGATTACAACATGCCTTTAGAGTTAAAGGCGAAGTTGTATAAAACAACTATAAGGCTTACATTGTTATATGAGATTGAGTATTGGGCCATTAAGAAACAACATTAGATGAAAATGAACATAGTTAAAATAAGGATATTTAGATGGATGTGTGGTGAGATTAGAAGAGAAAAAATAAAAAGATTCAAAAAAAAATTAAAGGCAGTTTAAACTAAGAAAAAAAATGATAGATGACTGTTTAAATGGTTTGGACATGTGAAACGGAGGCTTATTTATGTACCAGTTAGGAGAAATGAGCTTCTAGATTTGGGAAAGACTAAAGCTTCTACAAGTAAACCATAAAAGGCGTGGATGCAAGAAGATTTAGAAAATAGATGAAAATGCTGTTTTTTTATAAAAATGAAGGGCATAAGAAAATTCAAAACTATGATCTAACATGATTCTTTTTTTTTTGGCTTTTCATGCAACTGATCTCAAAATTATAGGATATAAAACTTAATTTGTTGTTGTTGTTTTATTGATTTAGATTTATTTTAAGGTGCTATCATATGGAATTTCATGTTTGGATTAATTACTTGTCATTTTGATTAATTAAGAATGTCATGTGGAATCTTTTGTTAAGATTTATTTTTATGCTTTGATTGATTATTATTTAATTATATCACATCATATAACATAATGATTAGGTTTAATTTTTAAGTATGGGTTAATTATGTTTATCTTGTAGTTTAGGTTTCATCTTTTATTTTATTTTTCATACAAATTACTTTATTTACTTCCTAAGTTTTTTATTTTTCAAGTTCTTTATTTTCAAGTCATTTATTTGACCAACTTTTTCATTTTTTAAGATCTTTAATTTTTCAATTATTTACTTTTTAAAGTTATTTATTTTAGTTTTTTGTATCATAATCAATAATTATCTAAAAATTATTTAAGGTTGGCAACCCACCTATATCTCTTTAAATGCATGCGTGACAATATGAGACATAATTCATAAATGCATGCATGCATTAAGTGAATGGTGAGATGTATTATTTGATTTGAAAGCTTTACGATGTAATATATGAAGTGGAATAGTATAGACTAGATTATCCCAAGCATGATTAAATTATGATTCTTTCTAATTTTGTATCCTAATATTCGAACCAAGTTCCTTGATAAAAAAAAGACTAGAGACCTTAATGCCTACAATTGATTCTCAATTATTAGAATAAATCGAGTGGTGACTCTCAAATCAAACATATTCCAAAATGAGAGTGATAGGGATGAAATCTACTCTTCTCATAATGGACCTATAATCTAATATGATAGATAAAAGTACGTAACTTGAATATGAGATCACAGAAAACTCAAATGTGGGGATTATCACATGACAATCTCATAGTGGGAATGACACAAAAATAACAGCAAAATTTTGGGATTTGATACCATGTTAAAATTCAACTTAAAAGTAATTAACTATAATTATAATGACAAACTTGAATATAAAACCATAAGAAACCTTAGGCTTAAGTTTTAATAGATATAGGATAATAGAACTTAACAATATCCAACACTCTTAAGTGAGTAGAAGATAAAATTAATCTTTAAGGTCCAAATTGTTTCATTCCATAACTCAACTAGATTTTCATTTTCTTACAACATTTATTTCAATCTTGACATAAAGGAAATTTTGAAAAAAGAATGAGAAGCAAATACTATTATATCTAAGACATGCACGAAAATTTTAAGGCAACTTTCTTTCCTAAATATCAAAATTCATATTTATATATATAAATATAATTTTCTTTCCTAAAACTCGAAAGAATTTTACTAAATATATCAATTCTATTAATTTGTCCAAAAATCAATACAATTAAACTCACAATAGCAAAATTTGCTATTTATATTAACAAAATATATCGTGAAATATACTAATCCCATTCCCATTTCTCCAAAAATCAACAAAATAAAAAAGTACAACAGCAAAATTCAATAAAATTGAAATATAATTCAATATTAAGTCATAATATAGTGGCAAATTTTACCTTAATATTAAATTTTCAAGTTATCTTTGTTTAAAATTTTAATTAATCATAATTTGTAAATAAAAAGAAAATAAAAGTTGCACAAAAAATAATTAAAAGTGAAAAATTTTTTTGCTAACATAATTAAAAAAACCTTGAAATTTACCATTTTATTTATGTAAGTCACTATAATTTTATTATATCCAAATAAATCCATAATTTTTACTTTCCACCTAAATAAGATCTTAAACTTTAAGTAATATTTAAATAAATCCTTATCTTTTAATTTGTATATAAATAAATCATTAATATAAATAAATATTTTATTTGAAATAAGGACATACTTAAATATAAATTAAAGAATAAAAATTAATTTGAATACAATAAAGATATAAGAATTTATCTAAATAAAGTGGTAAATTTCAAATGACTACTTTAGTATTTTAGGCAAAATCTTATAAATAAAGTCAAACTTAAAATTTTAATATACTTCTTTGGATGTTAATTGTTGAGTTTGGGAACGAGAGAGTCAAGATAGATTGGTGGATGAATTTTGGGCTTGTTTCGATGAGAAAGGTCAACAATCGACGATGGTTATAGTGATGGCCAATCATTTGAGTTTGTGAGGAACTTTCGGATTTTCAGATTTAATTTTGAGTTTAAAATATTTTTAATTAATAAAAATTGAAAAATTTAATGGTAAAATAGATTTACTAACATATGCAAATTACTGTCGTTAAATAATCCTAATTTGAATACATCCAAAAATATTTAATTTTATATTAACTAAATTAAAATTAATATTCTTAATTAAAAAATATCAAAATGTTAAATCATTAATTAAGTGTTTAGTCAAAATTTTAATATACTATTTGTAAAATTTGTAAAATGTATAACATAAATATTTTTTTTATTTATTTAATTTTTTAATAAGATTAAGAATTTTGCTAGCATTGTCCTAAAAGCACTATTCAAAGCGTTATTTAGTAATCTTTTACATTAAATATAATAATTGATAATAAATGTGATAATCTACGATCCATTGGATGAAAATATTAATTTAGGTGTTGTTTGATAAACTGAAAAACTAATGAAAATTTTAGTACTGAATTTTTAATACTAAATTTCATAAGCGTTAAATTTGTATTGCAAAAGCTATTTGATATGATGTTGAAAATTAATTACTGAAAACAGCGATATTGTTTGATAACTATAAATATTGACTTTTGAAATTATTCATTTTACATTTTTACCTTTATTATCATCATATTTTATATTACTACATATTATAGTAGGCATCTGAAGACATCTCGTGTTGAAAACAAATTGAATCTGGATAGCTGAAAAAAAAAAAGAAGAAAAAAAAAACAACGAAGAATTTCTTCAGTCCCATGGCGACTGCCATCTCATAATTATCATGGAACATGGAAACATATTCGAGGAAGGCCATAAAGCCATCACAACAGATCGCTCATGATTCCGGGAAAATAAAAAGAAGAGAATAAAGTTCTATAAGAGTACTATAGTTTAAAAAAATTTTAAAAGTGAAATTCACTACCGTGTTTTAGATTGGTGATAAGTAACTATCTATCTACTTATTAAAATGTATTTTAAAAAGTATCTTAGTTTAAGCTATCAAATGCATTGAAAAATTAAATTACTAAAAATATGCCTGGATAATATTAAAAAGTCTTACAGCACTTCTTGTTAACAAAAGAGAAATATAAACTTGATTTTTTATATTTTAGTAAAAGCTATTAAATAATAGATGAATCAAATCAGAATACGGCTTGAATTTTAAAAATGTTGGTATAATATGGCCCTGCCTTGTACTTTCAGCGATGCTATTGTTGTAATTTTTGAGTGCTTGCATTGTTGATCATCACTTTCTATTGTTCATGTAATTGCTGAGGTGTCCCAACTTGTTGAACTTCAAAAAAAAGGGAATCAAACTTCGAGAGAAAAATTCTTGAAGGCATATTTTAGAAGTCATTTTTCTTTAAATTTATTTTAAGCTTAGTGAAAGATCATGTGTCATTTGAAATGAAACAAAGTGCTGGGTTTCATTTTGAAAGATATAACTATTAGTGTAGGGTAGTCGACTCTACCTCTTTGGCAGCAGACTGTTCCTTTGCAAATCTTAGTTCTAGTAGATTTTGTTCATTGCGACAGTTGACTCCTCAACAAATTTCAGAATGTTAAAAGATAGCGAGTTAGTTGATTCCACCACTAGGCAATCGACTTGCTTGAATTCTAGAACACTTTTGACGTGAGTAATAAACTCCTTTCAAGATAGTCAACTTCTATGAAAATAGATAATGTTTCAGCCATGAGAGCAGTTAATTTCAGTTCCAAACAGTTGATTCCCTCTAAATAGCTCGTGTTTTTCTAAAACAGAAGATCTCCATGTTCAAAACATTTGATTCCCTCTAAATTAAACAGTCGAGTGGCTTGAACCATAGCAATCTTAGGGTTAGGAAACAATTGCTACTTTGTAATATTGGAACCAAAATGTACTGAAACTTTATTAGAATCAAATCGTGTTGAAACTTTGGTACATATTTGAAGTGCATGGCAGTAAGACTACATTGGCATTAGCAGTCTGACTACCCCTTATGGTCAGCCTAAAGCAGTTGATTCCACTAAGCATTGAAATCAATTGCTATTAATAAGTCTTCTTTCTCAAGTTCTTTATATCATGAAACTATAGTTGAGCTGTTTTGTAACTTGTTTAAGTTATTCTTTCACTTGATTTTTTATTTACTTTGAGAACAATTCTAATACTTTCTTCAATCATATCGTTATTTCATTATTCTTTTATTTTCCTAAACAGAAGATTAGGATTTAAGCAAATATGGATCTATGATGGATTAGAAAAACATGCGATGGCAGAAATCGTTGTTTAATTAACCAAGGCATATACATTTATACAAGTGATCCTTCATCATTTTACCATCTGAATACGTTGCTGGATCTATTGTTGCAATCATTACAGCAAATATAAAATCAAGTACAAAACGTTCATAGCTTGGCGTACCTCTTAAGATTTTCTCCAGCATCCTTTGCATGCTCTGGCACAGGCATGTTACACAGGAGAGTAACCCTCGATGATGATACCAGGGATCGGATGTCCGAGCTTGAAGGGTCTGTTTTCCATAGTCGCACCTCCCAAACCTAGTTGAAAATTAGCATTTGGGAGTGTTTGTAAAACAGCCGTCATTAATATATTTACTATATTTCAGCAGCATTATTTAAGGCACGGCACATGGACATTTAATAGACAATTGGTGTTTTTGATATATAAAATTATGACAGAATAATATAAAATAATATTATAGATAGAATTAAATTAAATAATATATTTTATTTTATATTTGAGGTCCGTAAGATTAAAATAAAATAATTTATTTATTGATCAAAATCATCTTTTTTTAAAATTTATATAATTTAAATTATTAATGTAATTTTTAAAAGTATCTCAATTTCATAGATTAAAAATAATCTTATTAACTTTAAGATAATTGAATTATCTTATGCCAAGAAAATGATTAATCTTATTTACAATCTTATCAATTTCTTTAAATATAAATCAAATATGATGTAAGATAATTATAATTCTATTTTATCCATCAATTTATGCACCAAACATTACCCAAGTATACAAGATATGAGTTTGAAGAGATATGCATATACTAAATGTACATGTATGCAGCTTTTCAACAATGTGAAACCGTGAAAGACTATCATCAATCATCATATGCCTCGTTGTTGTTGGTTTTGGATCTGCAGCAAACAAGACAAGTATAGAATGATGCACATATTTAAGGTGTAGCTTACCAATTTGTGGAATTTTGCTCCGCAAAGCAAGGTACATGAAGCAAAGCTCGGATAAAAAGCAAATTCAAGTAACCAAAAGTTGTCTCTTGTTCTGTCTCTGGCCAAAAAGACCGCAAGGTGGGTTGTGATTTGGTTACAAATTTTTTAAACCTTGATGAAAGTTATTATTGTATGAAAAGTGATAAGAGGAATGTTATTATGAGATTTATAGAAAGTTTTCGAAATTAATGCATTGTGTTTTTTTTTTTTAATTTATAAAAAATATTTCTTAAAATAATATTTTAACCAACTTTAAACAATATCTATGGAAAACTTGTTAGTTGGATTTTATCATTATATTTGGGAAAAGACAAAAAAAAATTGAAAATAGGTATGGTAGGAAGAAAATAATAGGAGAAAAGGAAAATTTATTCCAAATCCAATTCATTCAAATTAAAATTAATAAATTAAAAGGTTTTTATCAAGTGTGTAAAATTTTAAAAAATAATAATAAATTTTTATATTTTTTTAGATAAATATTTTTAATAAAAATATTAATAAAATTTTTATCGTAAATAAATATAAATAAATTTAAATTATAAAAAATATTTTTAATAATTTTTTATATATTATTAATTTATTGGTTTAAAATTTTTATTAAATCTTTTATTTTTTTAAATTCAGAAACTTTACCAAAACATCTTCGTATAAAGTTTGTCCTTTACAGCAAGCCTGAAAGTTTATTTATCTAAAATTAAAGTGGAGCTTTAGGTAATAAATGAATATGCGAATGAGCATCCAAATTAAGTACTAGTATACCGGCCGCTCAATAAATAATAATACCTACCTGAATGGTCTTGCCAAGATTGACCGGGGTGGCTTCAGCGAAGATAAGGTCTCCCAGTTCGGCGCGCTTTAAATGATTGATACTAAGGTGGATTCCAGCCACTCTTTGGTAGCCGCTAGCTATGTGAGCCCCGATGCTAGCCAGTGCTTCCGCTATCAGAGCCGATACTCCACCGTGCAACACCTTGAATGGCTGCTTTGCCAATACTCAATCGCAAGATCATTAATTAATTTTTAAATATGGAAGAGATAAATTTGTTAGTTTGAACCGTAAAAAATGAAAGGAAACAAAAATACTAGTATTTGAGAATTCACTCACCTGACAGCACTTTTGGGTTACTTGAAGGCGTCCAGTGACTTTGGTGGGGGACAAATCTTGAAATTCAAACCCAAATGGATGCAGCGGAGCATCCAGACAGGCAGTCTTGTCCAAAGATGATGATGATTGATCCATCAGCAGCGAACCGCAAGTAGTCAAGGACAAACCCTTAAAATTAATTATACCTTTTTCTGTCTAAGAAAACTTAGAGTTTTGGGAATAAGATAGGGTGGCGTCAGGGGAGGGGAAGGCGGAGTGGGTGCTGGTTTGATTTGTGAATATGTCGTCGTCAACACCTACACCTTGCTTTTTGTTTTGTTGCTCCGTAGGTTTTCAAGACCAGGAAACATCTCAATCTCCGTCCAGCTCTTGGGTATTGATTCTTCTCTTTGACATTAACGGAGCAGAGCAGGGGTATTTTGGCATATTAGTAGAATCGATGCTAATCTTGTGGTAGGTAATCCTCGTGGCACGTGGGACATGTGGTCTGGTTTTTGCTCTTTTTCTTTTTACTCGTTTCAACGTATTCGTATTTTAGGCCAAATTCCAGGGTTAGGTAGCATCTATGCATAGCATGTGTAAACCAAATGTTCCTTACTCGTGACTTGTGACCTAACACCACCCTGTCTAACGCTTCATAGTTCACCACCCAACGCCCAACGCCCAATATTTTTTTGTTTTTGGCCTTTAGCCTTTTGCTTTGCAAATAAAATTTCCAGTATTGCCGTGTTGTTGTAGGACATAAATATCAGAATGTAATGATTATTTATCAATCTCACACTTTTCGTTTAATCAAATCTTATTTACAAAAAAAAATTGGAGTTTAATTCATTCTCACAAATTAAAATTCGGCTTCCAAGGTTTGCAAAATTTTCCTTTTTGAAATTTTTTTGAAATTTTGATTTTTATAAAAAATCTTAGTTACAAAATTTTTTTCTTAATTAAACTTTTATGTTTTTTTTTTCATAATTGCCGTAATGTTCAAATTCCTGAACTCAAACTTTAGACACTAATTAAAAGTTATTATCAAATTTTTTGTTTAAATATGATTAGTTACCTAAGTAAATTTATTTTTTTTAAAAAAATTTTAAGTTTGACTAAATATTTCTAAAAAATAATAGATTTTAATTTATATTTTTAAATATATTCAAGAGTTCAGTTATATATAAAAAATATTATAGCACTTCACAATATTCATCCTAAAATGATATCAATTAATTTTAAATTATACTAAGATTGATTTCAATTAAATGGTTTTTTATCTTAAATTTTGATATATAAATACTAGAAAAAATTTTTAAGTCTTTGACACCATTATGACGGAATTCTTAAAAATTATTTCTCAACTTAAGAGTATTCGTAAAAGTCATTCATTATCTTGAAAAGATTATGTCATTGGATTTATTAAAAATTTTATAGAAAATATTTTTTAATTCAATTCATCATTTTTAATTTTTTGATTTTATTTTTTTCTTGAAAATAAATACCAAATATTGTTATTGTAATTTTTAATCTAAATTTTCTAGCATTTTGGAAAAATTTAAAAAAATTTTCACCTAAAAATCTCTAAAAAAAAATCATCCATTTGGGCATTTTTAGAATTGAATTATTGGAATAATTAATATTTAATTCTAAACTATTTCTTAATGCTATGAAATTATTCTAAACTAATAAAGGCAATTAAACTTTAAATTTTGAAAAGTTTCTCTAACAAGAAGCAATATAACCTTAAAATTTAAAAAGCTCTTTTAACTTAAAGCAATGAAACTTTAAATTTTGAAAAAAAAAAAACCTCCTTTAAAATAATGTGTAACTTTAAATTAAAAAATTTTACTGAAGTCATGACCTAAACTAAATTGAAATCTAAAAACTAAATGACCTGAACTGACCAAAATTCTAAAAATAAAATGATTTGGATTGAATGGAAGCCTGGAAATGGAATGACTTGAACTAAGTCGAAATCTACAAATTAAATGACCTAATTGAGTCAAAATAAAAAAAAAAATGTAATGACTTGGATTACATCAAAATTGAAATATGAAATGATTTGGATTGAGCCAAAGTTTGAAAATGAGATCAAATACCTTGAGGTTTAAACAGATTGTACTCAGAGGCATAAACAAAGGTAAGGAACTTTATAAAAAATTTAAAAACTTTATCTTGAAATGTTTCCCTCATTCGACAGTAAAAATCTTAGGACCAACAAATTTAAAACTTTTTTTCATGAAAAGAAAATTTTAAAGAAAAATTTTAGCCCTTTTACTAATCAACATCCAAAGCCAAAATTTATTATATGCAATATATGGAATGAATGTAGTGCATGAATGTAATGCACGAATGTAATGCACGAATGTAATGCCATGAATACAATACATGTAATGTCAACATTATGCACATCCAATTGTGGTAAAGGTAAAACTTTTAGCCCTTTTACTAATCAACATCCAAAGCCAAAATTTCTTATATGCAATGTATGGAATGAATGCAATGCATGAATGCAATGCATGTAATGTCAACATAATGCACATCTAATTGTGGTGAGAGGTTCTAAAAACTCTTTTCGTATCGTCTTTCGTTTTCAACTTCAAGCAAGTATAACTTCAAGGTTGGTTACCAAGTTCTATCAATAGGTTTATGAACCAAAATCTTCACTCACCAATTTGATCAAGACATTTGAACTTTTTCAAAATGTTTCTATTTTATTTGAAAACCTTAAGTATCAACATTTTCTCAAGCTTTTCCATCAGTCTCATTTCTTTTCATTCTATCCTTGTCACATTCAACCTTCTTTCATAATTGTTATAATGTTCAAATTTGTGAACTCGATCATTAGACAATAAGTAGGAGTCATCACAAATTTTTTTTTATTTAGATATGATTGGTTGCCTAAGTGAATCTATTTTTTTTTTTTTTTAAATCCTAAGCTTGACTAAAGGCTTCTAAAAAGAGAAGATTCTATACTATATCTTTGAACTATGTTCAGGAGTTTAATTACATATAAAGAAGGTTATAGCACCACAAAATACCCATCCTAAAATGGTAACAATTAATTTTAAATTGTCCTAAGATTGGTTTTAACTAAATCGTTTTTTATCTTACATTTTGATATTTATATGTTGAAAAAAATTTGATCTTAAATTTAATTATTAAATGCTCTTTCATCTTAAATTTTATCATAAAACAATTATTTCTATTCGAAGAAGTTTATTCGAAATAAAGTAATAAAATTTTTTTAATATTTTAAAAATTAATAAGTAAAAGATTTAAAATATAAGTTTTTTTACCGAACAAGTACAAATAGTCACAACTATTTAACCAATTATGTATTTCAAATAATTATGACCTTCTGTTTTATAATAGAATAATTGTTTCTGTTCATATAAGTTTATTTGAAATAAAATAATATTTATTTATTAATATTTTAAAAATTAATAAGTAAAAAATTTAAAAGATAAATCTATTTAACGAATAAGTTCAAATAGTCATGATTATTTTAACAATTATCTATTTCAAATAATTATGACTTTTTATTTTGTCATAAAATAATTATTTTTATTCAAACAAGCTTATACAAAATAAAATAATATTAATTTATTAATATTCCCAAAGTTAACAAGTAAAATATTTAAAAGATAAATCTATTTACCAAACAAATTCAAATAATCACACTTATTTGTCCAATTATTTATTTCAAATAATTATTATATTTTATTTTGTCATAACATAATTGTTTTTGTTCGAAAAAACTTATTCGAAATAAAATAATATTAATTTATTAATATATTGAAAATTAATAAGTAAAAATTTTCAAAAATAAATATATTTAACTAACAAGTTCAAATACTCATGACTATCTAAACATTTAGCTATTTCAAATAATTAAGACCTTTTTGTTTTGTCGTAGAACATTTGTGTCTGTTCAAATAAGCTTATTCGAAATAAAATAATATTAATTTATTAACATTCCAAAATTAATAAGTAAAAGATTTAAAAGATAAATCTATTTACTGAACAAGTTCAAATAGTTACGATCATTTTGATAATTATTTATTTCAAATAATTATGACATTTTATTTTGTCATAAAACAATTGTTCCAATTCAAACAAGATTATTCGAAATAATATAATTTAATTTATTAATATTTCAAAAACTAATAAGTAAAAGATTTCAAAGATAAATTTGTTTATTGAACAAATTTAAATAGTCACGATTATTTAAACAATTATCTATTTCAAATAATTATGACTTTTTTTGTCATAGGATAGTTATTTCTGTTTATATAAGTTTATTCATAATAAAATAATATTAATTTATTAATATTCCAAAAGCTAATAACTAAAAGATTTTAAAGATAAACCTATTTACGAAATAAGTTCAAACAGTTGACTATTTGAACAATTATCTATTTCAAATAATTATGATATTTTGTTTTATCATAAAATAATTGTTTTGATTGTACAAGTTTAATCATAATAAAAAATAAAATAAAATAATATCAATTTATTAATATTCTAAACATTAACAAGTAAAAGATTTAAAAGATAAATCCATTTAACGAACACGTTTAAATAGTTATAATTGTTTGAACAATTATCTATTTCAAATAATTATGACCTTTTGTTTTGTCATAAAATAAATATTTCTATTCATATAAGCTTATTAAGAAAAAATAATATTAATTTATTAATATTTTAAAAATTAATAAGTAAAAGATTTAAAGGATAAATTCATTTACTGAACAAATTAAAATAGTTATTGTTAAGTTTCCAATTTGGAAACCAATTTATAGTAATTTAAAACTAATTGGCTACAAGTGGAGGGGTTCAACTTGAATATAAGACTACAGGATATTAGATATTTACTAGATATGAGATAACACCACTTTAACAGGCCTCCATCATGTGTAGGCGAAAATGAAAGAAACCTATCACACGACAGATTTAGAAAGGACAACAAAAGAAAATTTTGGCTTTGATACTATGTTAAGCATCCAACTTAAAATTAATTGGATGTAACTAGAGGGGCCCAACTTGAAAATAAGACTACAAGATATTAAATATCTATTAGATGTGAGATAACATCACTTTAACAATTATGATTATTTAAACAATTATTAATTTGAAATACTTATGACCTTTTGTTTTATCATATAACATTTGTTTCTATTCATACAAGTTGTACGCATTTTTTTTTGTCTGAGATTTTTTTGGACAAAAAACGAAGCTTCGAGCCCAATAGAAAAAATTTTTAATTTTAATTTGATTTGATTTGATTTTACTTGTTTTCAAAAAAAGTCAAAAAAAAAAAAAAAGAGAAATCAGAAAACGAGTGATTTTAGTTTGATTCATGCAAACTTGTGAAAAGAGAGACTTAAAATCAAATCATAGATTACAAAATCATAATCATTTGATTTATTTTCCAAAATTACAAGGATTCAATCCTTATAAATAAACAACAATCACACGCAAAGAGGGGGATCATTCAAAAAAATAAAAGATATATACAAAAACTCTTGAGAGAAAAAAAAAAGAGGGAAAAAAAGATTCTATAGAAACTCTAAAAAGAAAAGAAAGAAATTTGTTTAGCAACCAAAAGATTTTATGTTATGGGTTTGATTTGTTTAAATTTTCTAAAACTGGGATTTTGTGTTCTTAGGTTTGAATTTTTGTAAGTTTGCATTCTAGGGATTTTTGGGTTTAGTTTTTCTGGACCTGACCCTTAGTGCAACCTAGTT